TTGAGCTACAAGTTGTGCTTTATACTTTTCTATGTCACCTTGTTGGTTGGTTTTCATTTTAAATACTCAATGATTTGTTAACATTTTCTTATTGTTTGGCCTTGGTACTAAGATCCATGTGTTGCTTTCACATAGGCTCTCCTATGTGAAAGCAACACATAGGAGAGCCTATGTGAAAGCACACATAGAATATTCCTTTTTCGTGGAAGTTAGTCGTGCCTCTCTACCGTCTCAATTTAACACTTCAGATACATGTTTGGGATCTGGGATTTTGTCTTAACAATTTGATAAAGTTTCCTCAGTCTTCTGCGTTCTCCTGTTCTTTCAATTTTCGTTGGCTCAAGTGACTCTCCTCTTGAATTTCTCATCACTCTTCTTCTATATATTCATCCACATTAGATTCATTATCAGACTCTCCATGTAGTTTTGTATTGTCCTCACTGTTTATCTCTGTTGTCTGATTTAGCAGCATTATACACGTCATTTGGTGTTGCAGCAGCAAAATCTGGTTCAGTGGAGATAATCTTCAGAAAAGTGTTACTTATGTGGATTGTTTCAACAAATCTTATGTCATGTGCTATGATGAGTCTTAATTCCTGGTTTCCAGAGTCAATACACTTTTGACTCATTCGAGTATCTGACCAACACGTACTCATTGCCTTTCAGATGAAAATTTCCTCATTTTTGAGTCTTATCTCCAGCACTTTAGCTTTACTTCCGATAATTTTAAAGAAACCAACGTAAGTTTTATGCTTAAACCATAGCTCATTCAATGTTTTTCCATTGAGGACTTTTGTTCCACTTCTATTTCGTAGAAATGTGGGCATATTGATTTGCTTCTGCCCATAGTGACTGAGACAGACCTGCTTGCAACATTATACACCTCGCCATTTCAACAAGTGTTCGATTTGCATATTCTGCTACACCATTTTGTTGTGAGGTGTACTTGACACTTAGTTGTCGTATGATTACTTCTTTTTCGAGAAATTTGTTAAATTCTTTCAATAAATATTCTCTACTGTTATCCATATGTAGCTTTTTGATTTGATAACCTGTTTGTTTTTCAATCCTTTGCTTATAAGATTTGAATGCTTGGAGGATATCTGAACGACTTTTTAGCATTATAGTTTCCATATAGTGTGTACAGTCATCAATAAATGTTACAAAATATTTTGCACCTCCTAATGATATGGTTTTCGTCGGACCACATATATCGAAATGCACTAAGCCCAAAATCTCTTTCTCTTGATGATATGACTTCTTAAATGATTGAACATGTATTTTCAATCTAAGGTATATTTCACAGTTTAATTCTTTCTTTCGTTGAAAGGTCCATACCTTCAGCCAGTTGTTTAACTTTCATTTTTCTTAAATTGTTAATGTTTATGTGCCCATATCTTTGGTGCCACTTTAATTAATAGGTTTTTGTCAGTAGTTTGTAGTTTCTGCTGAAAACATTGTTTGGTCTTCCACTTCATTGACAACATATAGGTGATCACATTTCATAGCTGTACCATCTTTACATTTGATGATTGCATAATTCTCCTTAAATACAACAATGTATCCTTTGTCAGTGATGCTTGCTACCAATAAAAGGTTGTGGCACAATTCCAGTACATATAATACATTTTGTAGTTTTATGGAACTTATTGCTCGTTGATTTACTTTCAAATTGAGATTCACATCACCTATGCCAACTGCTTGCACATAATTCTCCATGGCAGTATATACTTTAAACTGTTCAATTTGATCTAGGGTTAATAATTTATATTTGTCGTTGCACTTAATCTTGTTGCACCACTATCTAAATACCACTTTTTCAATCCATTTGTGAATTCCATGTTACATGCAATTCTACTTTTATGTAGGCACCTCTAATAACTTTTATGTCTGTGTGTTTTGTTTTTAATTTACAGTTTCTACTGATATATTCATTTTTACTGCAGTTGTAGCACCTTCCGTCAAATCTCTGGCCTCTGAATCTTGTACTGTTTTCCCTCGAGTTCATTTGTGACTGCTTTACACAGTCAAACTTTCCCTTTGAAAGCAATGCGTCACTTCTCTCATTCTCAGTTAGCTTTGTAACATGCTCCCTCTGTCTTGCTTCCTCCTCTTTTAATTTCTTTTTGAGGTTTCTTTTCGAGTGACGGTATGTCATCATGTGACTCTATGGCTATACTAAAATTTTCATATTCATCCGGTAGTGATCCGAGGAGCATAAACAATAGTAATTCTTTTGGGATTTCTATTCCCGCTTCCTTCAGTTGATCAACTTTACTTGTGAACTCGTTTACATACTGTGTAATCATCATATTCTGCCCTTTTTCCATTCAGAGTAACAGTTTGTTGCCTTTCTAACGAGGCCTTGTGACTGGAATATTGTCTTAAGTCCATCCCATGCTTCTTTACACGTTTCGGCATTTTTCACATGGTTCAATTGCCAAGACTAAGGCTTAGATTTATCAGCGTCCAACGCCTTCACATCTTGCTTGATCCATTCCTCTGGGCTTCTTTCTGGTTTAATTTCAGTAATAAATCATCGAATACCTGATGCTGAGAAAAACCGTTTATTAAAGAAACATTAACATTTTCGACCTAATATAATAGGCCATCTTCAGATGCAACTATTCTTGAACGTATTTAACTTAATATTTAAATGTCAGAACGTTTGAATACTTTTATGTTTAAATCAAAATACTGGATAAAATAACAAATAAATAATAAAATAAAACAAGTATAGTAAATGAACTAATACAATAACGATGTAAATAATGTACTAAAATAAAAAATAACATATGTAAAATAAAATAAATACACAAAAAATGCCATTAAAATATGAGGGCAGGTGCAGGCTAAGAATTTTTGCATTTTAGTTTTAATTTAAAATCTTCTCTATTGTGATGTATAATAAATTTGTTAATTATTAATTGATAATTTATTTTTATTATTTCTTTTCTATTTGTTGCAGTATATTATTTTTCTTTAATGTATATATTTGATTTTAGCTCAGCCTCCTGGTATTCCAGAAATATGCAGAGTTTCTTTACCTTCATGTTCAGCGAAAGGAGAGTGTGAATTATTCATAATTGGAAAAAATTTTCTGAAAGACACAAAAGTTATATTTAGAGATATACCTAAATGTAAGAAATCATCTAGTTCTGTTTTCCTTTTTTTAATTTATAAAATAGATAGTCTGTATCAATGAATTGCTGTAATTTTTTGCATTAATCCTGCAGTGCAAATACAAAAGGTGAAAAGCTACTAACACCAAAAAAAACTTTGCATAACCCTCACCATCAACATAGAACAATGTTGTCAGACCAAAAAAATCTGAAATTGAGCGAACTTAATTAAAAATCATTATACAAAACCAATAATAATTTTAAGTATAAAATATCATTTGTTACAAAAAAGATATTTAAATTACTTTATTCACTTTGTTTATATTTCATTAAGATCTAGAATGTATGACTCCTTGTGATTAAATAATAGAATTATCATTGCAAATGATAAATTTAAATAATTTATTTTTTATTTGCTTCTTATCACTTTTGAAAATTGGAAAATTTTTCAATCACAGACATGACCCATGATGTTACTATGATTTCAGGACAACTTATTATCATTTCACTTCATTTCTGTTNATATAAAAACAATAAAAAAATTATACTTCAGAAGTTAATTTAGTATCAAAAATGTAAAATATTTGAGTAGCCCGAAGACATAGCCAAAGATTGCAGTGCCACAGCACTGGCAAAAATTTAAATTTGCAGACTGGAATTCTTTCAAATAATTGACGTTTCGGATAATCGACACTCTACTGTAATCTTTTTGTATGAAGTTTGTTCAAATCCCGGATGGACCCCCAAAATTTGTAGGAATAATGATCAAAATAGAGAACTAGAAATAATAATCTTCCAGCATCTTCAAATTGTCCGCAAACCATCTTCTTGATAGAACGATAATGCTCTACGACTGTAATGTCTTTCATGCTTTTCTGTGCCTTTTTCCACTGTCGTCTTCTTGTTCTCTTCTCACGCCATTGCCAACTTTTGTCTTTTCACTTCTTGCACACTACTCGTCTAAAGCCCACATTTATATTTATATATAATTATAATTCACAGAAATGAAAATCAACATGTATATAAAGTAAACTAAAAAAATGTATATAAATAAATGTACTTTTAAATTTTTTGTTAAAAATCTTTAAATGCATTATAAACAATTTGTTCATCTGTAAAGAAATTTATCTAAATATATAAAATTACTTGTCGTGACTGACTGACTGACTCACCAATTCATTATCGCCCAGAACAAACTGCTGAACCTAAAGAGGTAAAATTTGGTACACAGTTAGGGTACGTCATGAAAACACACACTAAGAAGGGATTTTTCAAAATTACCCCACGGGAGGAGAGGGTAAGCATTAAGGCTTAACCGGAAGAACGACTTCTACTGTACTATTTTAGATGCAATTTTTTTGTTTTCAACTACGTTTAGTCTTCATTGAGTACTTAGGTGTATTAAATTGATAACATTTCAGACATTGTTATAATATTTTCATATATTTCGATTTTTTAACCAAATGTTCAAACTGTTTTAAATTTGAATTTGTTATTGCATATTAGTTTGATTATAGAATGATTGTAAACATTCCAGAAAATTGATCAAATTGAAAACAGTTCATTTGATTCTCAGCAATTCTCATTATTCTCAGTGGTAGGTGTTATATAACAATTACTATGGTTGTTGAAATACTGAATATAAATAGGGTTTGCTTGCAAAACCACCACTGGCAAAGCTAGTAATAAATATATTTATATACAAAATTTATATATAAATATAAGTTATATAGTTATATATAAAATAAGTTACTACTATTACTATATATAGTAGTAACTTATTTTATATATAACTATATAACTTCTATTTATTAATAAGTTATTAATAATTGAAAATTTATGCTTAATATAATATTAAATATGATTAAAAAAAGTGACCTTAGCTTGTTCTCTGGTAATTCCAACAGATAAGGCTGTTTTACTATGCATGTCAGTAGCATTACTCTTCTTTCCTTGAAGTGTCATCCAGCCAAATGCTGTACAGCCTAGAAGTTAAAATTTCATTTTTTGTTTTTATTATATAAAAATTTTTATTATTATATAAAAATTATATACAGTGTTAACAAAAGAACATAATATTAAACTTAAAAGAATTAGATACTAAGTTTATTCTGAATGATCACCCAAAATTAAAATTTAATAAGTGGAGAACATATTTCTTAAAAAAATAGATATAATACAAAATATAAATATGAAAAAAAGTATAAAATATTCCCATACATAGAAGACATATTTGAAAATTTCAGTAAAATCCTTAACAAAGATAAGATATGTTCGGCCCCATCTTTGAACAATAAGATTTCAAATAACGTTTCTAAATATGTTAACAAAAGTAACCATAATAATATAGATCCTCTAAAAAAGACAGGTGTCATATATAAATTAGAATGTAATTGTCTGAACCCATGTAGGTGTATAGGAGAACTAATCGTGTATTAAATGTAAGAATAAAAGAACATGAAGCGGCTATTCGGTTAAAATACAAAAATTCACCATGGTATGAACACGCGAAAAATAATAATTGTAAAATTAATCGCAATAATATTAAAATTTTACATTATGAAAAAGACATATATAAACGAAAATTCAAAGAACATTTTGAAATAAAGAAAAACCAAAATAAGAATTTAATAAATAATTCCGAATGTATGTTAATTGATTCTCGCTGGTACAAAATGATAAAGGGCGTTACATAGAAATAAAAAATGAAATTATTGCGATTGAATAAAAGAAGGGTGCTAATGTTTTGCTTAGTGTTTTGTAGATTGTTTGTATCCTATTTATATGAAAATATATATTTTAACAGTAAGTAATATATTGTTTTTGTACACCTTTATTAATTATACAAAATAGGCATAAAATAATTTGTTTTTAGAAGTGATGTTATGTAGTGGTATTAAACACTTCAAGCGCTCTTTAAGCTGGTACGATAATTTTAAGATGTATAGATGAAAAACAGATGTTAGTGTTATAGATGTGTTGGTAGCCCGTACACAATTTTTATTTTAAAGAGTAAGTACGTAGAAATATCTTCTAGTGTATTTGATGTCATGTACTGATTATTATTGTTTTTTAAAAATTTGCGCTGAAGAGGGGTTGGATGTTGTATTAACCTGAAATCNAAACACTTCAAGTGCTCTTTAAGCTTGTACGATAATTCTAAGATGTATAGATGAAAAACAGGTGTTGGTGTTATAGATGTGTTGGTAGCCCATACACAATTTTTATTTTTAAGAGTATGTAGGAAAATTTTTTTGTTGTATATTTGATATCATGTACTGATTATTTTTGTTTTTTATTGTTTTTAAAAATTAGCACTGAAGAGGGGTTGGATGTTTGTACCAACCTGAAATGCATTTGTCATTTTTTTAAAAATAAAAGTGTAGTTCCTAACTGAAAATTTGGCTATGAGTCCGTCTACCATATTTTTTTGGATTACAGAGACGTATTATATAGAAAGATCTAACATACAGCAATCCAGTTATATAGTAAAATTTCATTGTTAAATAATATTATATCTCTTCAATTTTAAGAGGCCATTATAAGACATTATGATTTTGAATTCAAATTTTAAGTTTTTTTTTATGAAGGAAAATTTTTAAATACAGTAGAGCCTCGATTATCCGACTCAATTGGGAACTGGGGTTGGCCGGATAACCGAAAAGTATGAAAAAATCCATTATTAGTGTAGTATATTATTATATCCCATGTAATTAGTATATCGCTATTAACCTACTTCGCATTGAATTTTCATCGATGTTAAACCTAACAAAATTTTTTTAAAATAATAATCGTCGGTATTGTATCGTTAAAAATTAGAAAATTAAGCCACGTTTAAATACTGGCTCCCTTTCATGGTCAATCCAGTGTTGCCAGATAAAACACATTATTAAAGTAGCCAAGACATAGCCAAATATTGTAGCGCCACATCACTAGCGGACATTTGAAATTTGCCGACTAGGACGGTCGGTTAACCGAGGTGACGGTTAATCGGGGGTCGGATAATCGAGGCTCTACTGTAATTGATTTTATTAAGTTTGTTAAATAGTACCAAGTTAGAAAAACAATACAACAAAAGAACATTCATTGTACAACAACAAAAATTGAATCTATTTCATTTTCCATTATTCCACCACCATTTCTAAATACATTTATAGTTTGTCTTGTTATTCTTAATTACCAATTGAAATAAAAATGATCCATAAAATAAAAAAGGTTATTATTCCATAAAAAATCTTTTCAGTTATTTTAATATTATTATTTTATTTAATTAAAATAATCAAATTTAAAAGTAAAAATAAGTACGAGAACTATTTTACATATATTTATTATTACCATGAATTCCAGTAAAATGCGAATCGCCTAAAAGTGATGCAATCCATAATTCTTGTGAATCCACATCAGCACCAACAAAATGATATCCTGGAGGTGACTGAATCATTGATTTTAATTCGCTCCCAACTCGATCTAGCTAATGAAACAAACAAAAAAGAAAAAAAAAATCATTATTTTAATAAATTGTCAGAAAATGAAGCAAATAAATGAATCTAATGATGATCAGACATATACAGTTAGATGTAACACGAAGAAAAGCAGAATGAGGGGAGACAACATGCCACACAGACATAGCAGACTAAACAATATCATGACCTATGACCAAAATAATGTAAAGCGTGCCAACAGTAGATGGCACTGTTTAATACAAAATATATCTTAGCACACAGAGATTACAATTTTACTTTCTTTCATACTCCCTCTATTGCTGTGTGCTTCATACATAACAAATATCCATTATTTCAATTAATTTTAACATTTTCATGAATCTATCAAACTTAGTTCCCATTAGCAGTTTCGTTAGGACATCTGTGATTATCAGGTGTGTCCTCAAATAATAAATTACAATTTCCCCTTTTTTGACTAATTCTCGAGTGACATGAAAGCTTGTGTCAATATGTTTACTATGCTTGTGCATTCTTTGATAACTGTATTGCACTTTGGTTATTGCAGTAAACACAAGTAGAGTTCTTTACACATCTTTTAAAACCAATATGTACTAACAGTCTTTTTATGTAGGTTATTTCACGAAGCTTCAGCTTCAGCTAGAGCTGAATACTCTGCTTCCATGGTCAACATTGCAACAGATGTCTGTTTGTTTGACTTCCAACTAATTGGACCACCAGCTAACATCAGAATGTTACCTGTACATGACTTTCTGTCGTCTATGTCTCCAGCCCAATCTGAATCTGTGTAGGCTTTAAGCTCTTCATTGTTCTTGATGTATGTTATTCCATACATGGAATACATAGATGATTTTTTGATCCAAAGTGTTTTGCTGGGATAAGCACAAAAATGACTTAATATGCTCTCAGCAAAAGCAATGTCTGGACATGTCACATTTGCCAGGTAGATAAGACTTCTGATGAACTCTCTATAAGGCTGATTTTTCATGTCTTGTCTCACATTGTCTGTGATTGGACCGATTTCCTTCGAAATTTTCATATTTGACTCTATCGGTGTAGCGACAATTTCCACATCCTCTAAGTTGAATCTCTTCACCAGTTCATTAATATATTTTGTTTGCATCAGATATATGCTACCTGTTGGCCCTTCTCTCTTTATTTCAATGCCTAAAATGTTACTTATAAGGCCTAGGTCTACTATTTTGAATGCTGACTTCAGTTTCAATTTAATGGTCTCAAGGTTTTCAATCTTCTTCGATGCCAATATTAAATTGTCTACATAAACAACGAGTATCATTCGATCTTCTTCCTTCCCAAATACATAAACACATGGATCAGTTGCTGTGTGCCCGCCTCCAATACTCGTGATAAAGCCATCTACCTTCTTGTATCATTCTCTTCCAGACTGTTTTAATCTGTATAAGGTTTCAATAATTTGCAGACTTTATCTTCTTGTTTGCCGAGGACGAACATCTCAGGTTGCTCCATGTATATTTTATCAGATAAATCATCTTACACATAAGCAGAAGTTACTACATCCATTTGATGTATGTGAATTTCTTCATTTACGAAGACAGATAATAATGTTCTTATTATTTTGTATCTAGCAAATGGAGCAAAAACATCATAGTCTATACCTCTTTCTTGGGTATGACCTTGAGCTACAAGTTGTGCTTTATACTTTTCTATGTCACCTTGTTGGTTGGTTTTCATTTTAAATACTCAATGATTTGTTAACATTTTCTTATTGTTTGGCCTTGGTACTAAGATCCATGTGTTGCTTTCACATAGGCTCTCCTATGTGAAAGCAACACATAGGAGAGCCTATGTGAAAGCACACATAGAATATTCCTTTTTCGTGGAAGTTAGTCGTGCCTCTCTACCGTCTCAATTTAACACTTCAGATACATGTTTGGGATCTGGGATTTTGTCTTAACAATTTGATAAAGTTTCCTCAGTCTTCTGCGTTCTCCTGTTCTTTCAATTTTCGTTGGCTCAAGTGACTCTCCTCTTGAATTTCTCATCACTCTTCTTCTATATATTCATCCACATTAGATTCATTATCAGACTCTCCATGTAGTTTTGTATTGTCCTCACTGTTTATCTCTGTTGTCTGATTTAGCAGCATTATACACGTCATTTGGTGTTGCAGCAGCAAAATCTGGTTCAGTGGAGATAATCTTCAGAAAAGTGTTACTTATGTGGATTGTTTCAACAAATCTTATGTCATGTGCTATGATGAGTCTTAATTCCTGGTTTCCAGAGTCAATACACTTTTGACTCATTCGAGTATCTGACCAACACGTACTCATTGCCTTTCAGATGAAAATTTCCTCATTTTTGAGTCTTATCTCCAGCACTTTAGCTTTACTTCCGATAATTTTAAAGAAACCAACGTAAGTTTTATGCTTAAACCATAGCTCATTCAATGTTTTTCCATTGAGGACTTTTGTTCCACTTCTATTTCGTAGAAATGTGGGCATATTGATTTGCTTCTGCCCATAGTGACTGAGACAGACCTGCTTGCAACATTATACACCTCGCCATTTCAACAAGTGTTCGATTTGCATATTCTGCTACACCATTTTGTTGTGAGGTGTACTTGACACTTAGTTGTCGTATGATTACTTCTTTTTCGAGAAATTTGTTAAATTCTTTCAATAAATATTCTCTACTGTTATCCATATGTAGCTTTTTGATTTGATAACCTGTTTGTTTTTCAATCCTTTGCTTATAAGATTTGAATGCTTGGAGGATATCTGAACGACTTTTTAGCATTATAGTTTCCATATAGTGTGTACAGTCATCAATAAATGTTACAAAATATTTTGCACCTCCTAATGATATGGTTTTCGTCGGACCACATATATCGAAATGCACTAAGCCCAAAATCTCTTTCTCTTGATGATATGACTTCTTAAATGATTGAACATGTATTTTCAATCTAAGGTATATTTCACAGTTTAATTCTTTCTTTCGTTGAAAGGTCCATACCTTCAGCCAGTTGTTTAACTTTCATTTTTCTTAAATTGTTAATGTTTATGTGCCCATATCTTTGGTGCCACTTTAATTAATAGGTTTTTGTCAGTAGTTTGTAGTTTCTGCTGAAAACATTGTTTGGTCTTCCACTTCATTGACAACATATAGGTGATCACATTTCATAGCTGTACCATCTTTACATTTGATGATTGCATAATTCTCCTTAAATACAACATTGTATCCTTTGTCAGTGATGCTTGCTACCAATAAAAGGTTGTGGCACAATTCCAGTACATATAATACATTTTGTAGTTTTATGGAACTTATTGCTCGTTGATTTACTTTCAAATTGAGATTCACATCACCTATGCCAACTGCTTGCACATAATTCTCCATGGCAGTATATACTTTAAACTGTTCAATTTGATCTAGGGTTAATAATTTATATTTGTCGTTGCACTTAATCTTGTTGCACCACTATCTAAATACCACTTTTTCAATCCATTTGTGAATTCCATGTTACATGCAATTCTACTTTTATGTAGGCACCTCTAATAACTTTTATGTCTGTGTGTTTTGTTTTTAATTTACAGTTTCTACTGATATATTCATTTTTACTGCAGTTGTAGCACCTTCCGTCAAATCTCTGGCCTCTGAATCTTGTACTGTTTTCCCTCGAGTTCATTTGTGACTGCTTTACACAGTCAAACTTTCCCTTTGAAAGCAATGCGTCACTTCTCTCATTCTCAGTTAGCTTTGTAACATGCTCCCTCTGTCTTGCTTCCTCCTCTTTTAATTTCTTTTTGAGGTTTCTTTTCGAGTGACGGTATGTCATCATGTGACTCTATGGCTATACTAAAATTTTCATATTCATCCGGTAGTGATCCGAGGAGCATAAACAATAGTAATTCTTTTGGGATTTCTATTCCCGCTTCCTTCAGTTGATCAACTTTACTTGTGAACTCGTTTACATACTGTGTAATCATCATATTCTGCCCTTTTTCCATTCAGAGTAACAGTTTGTTGCCTTTCTAACGAGGCCTTGTGACTGGAATATTGTCTTAAGTCCATCCCATGCTTCTTTACACGTTTCGGCATTTTTCACATGGTTCAATTGCCAAGACTAAGGCTTAGATTTATCAGCGTCCAACGCCTTTACATCTTGCTTGATCCATTCCTCTGGGCTTCTTTCTGGTTTAATTTCAGTAATAAATCATCGAATACCTGATGCTGAGAAAAACCGTTTATTAAAGAAACATTAACATTTTCGACCTAATATAATAGGCCATCTTCAGATGCAACTATTCTTGAACGTATTTAACTTAATATTTAAATGTCAGAACGTTTGAATACTTTTATGTTTAAATCAAAATACTGGATAAAATAACAAATAAATAATAAAATAAAACAAGTATAGTAAATGAACTAATACAATAATGATGTAAATAATGTACTAAAATAAAAAATAACATATGTAAAATAAAAATAAAATAAATACACAAAAAAATGCCATTAGGTATAAGGGCAGGTGCGGTCTAAGAATTTTTGCATTTTAGTTTTTCTTTTATGTAGAACTTCCATGCGGAAGCTAGTCCCTCTGCATCCCTGGCGTTAATACAACCATCTCCTAATTTACTTTTATATATTTCAATATTTTTCTTCATGCATTGCCAATGATGGAGAACGCATAGTCCTGAAGATAGTTGCTTCATTCCATTAACCATAGAGTCCTCTGCTTGTGCCATACAGGATAATACTGTGTTGCAGTGCCCTTTGTTAATATCATATTTGTGCTCCTTAAGTCTGGTAGCCAAATTCCTCCTTGTGACTCCAATATAGTCCTTCTTAATTCCTAATTCCTGATTTTCAAACGAAATTTTAAATACGCCTACTTTTTCTTCTTTTTTAATCATGTCTTTATCATTTCTTAAAATACTGTATATATTAGGTGCTCTTTTGAAAATCCTTTTTTGGGGTTGTTTTCTGTCAGATATTTGTTTCATGATGTTCTTGATGTTTGATTATATTTTAAACTGATTTGCTTGGGTTCTTATTACATTACCTTCTTCATATCTTTTAATTAGCCCTTCTATCGTACTCTTTTTATATCCCACGTTTGAAGCTGTTTCTTTAATTCTATTAAGTTCTTTGATCCTGTCCAGCACATTAGAGCAATGTGAATATGCTCTTCTGATGAGTGCTTGAAAGGTGGACAGTTTGTATCCATAGGGGTCGTTTGAGTTAGCAGGAATGTATAGTGGGCTATGTGTTGATTTTATGTAGATACCTGTTGTTGTACCATCTCCTTTCAATTGGATGTCTATATCCAATTGAAAGGACCATCAATTTAATTTAATTTGAGTACCAAAATTTAATTTCAGTACCATCAATGTATTTCCACAGATCATTATACACGAAAACACTGTCTGTATTTTTCAAAGTTTGTAATTGTCCTCATTCAACTTATCAATATTTGAGAATCCACCAGGATCCGCCATACCATACTAGATAATAAATCCATTTACTTCTTATATTAGATATATTTTCCTTGTAAGCAATCTTAGGTCCATAACCTGTCAGAAAATGAAGCAAATAAACAAATCTAATGATGCACAGAGATATATGGTTAGATGTAACACAAAGAAAAGCTGAATGAGAGGAGACAATATGTCACACAGAGATGTAGCAGATTAAACAATATTGTGACCTATGACCAAAAGAATGTAAAGCGCACCAATGGTAGATAGTGCTGTCTAATACCAAATATGTCTTAGCACACAAAGATTACAATTTTACTTTCTTTCATATAAATAAATAGAGATTTAAAAGTATGTTCTAAACTGATTGTTAACTTATCAATCATGATAACAACTGGTTTTAATTTTTGGTCATGACTAATAACCCATACAACAAAATTAGCAATTTTTACACTTTATTCTAACTATTTACTAGAGTAACTATTTGAATATATATATTCCACTATCTGAAATATTTAACTCTGTAAAAATAAAAACTACTATATATGCTGATGTATAAGGTAACATCAAGATTTCCAGCTTAAAATTCTGGTTTAAACCTATATCCACCATTTATGTCACCTAGTATAAATTTACATTAAATAGGGCAAAACACAAAAAAACTACTTACATAGGCATTACTAGCAGTTAACCATGTGGGTTCTACAGCTCTACGTGTTACAGTTCCTGCTATTATAAGGCGAGGCAAAATTGCTCCATACATACTTTCTTCTTCATATTTTTCATTTCTGAATATAATTGATATACATTAATACTGTAAGTAAAGAATTCCTTTTGAAATATTACTTTTAATTTAATAATAATAAAAAAAATCTATCAGATAATTTTCTGAGATAAGGTAGATGAGTTTGTTTTAAACTGAAAGAGTTTGTCTGTTAGAATAGCTCAAAGAGAGGGTGTCAAATCAATAAAGATTTAGAACATCAGCTTTTCTGAATTTTGAAGAATGTTTCTGAAAAGTTTTGGAAATTTTTACCCTTCTGTTGAGTTATTTCTTCAATCATATATTACAATATCATCAAATTCGGAAATCATTACAAATCAATAGTATAAATCACTATTTCAATAATATAGATTTCTGCTAGTCTNTAGAAATAATAATTTATAAAGAAAGTAATTAAATAATAATAGAAAATAGAAACCCAAAACACATAAGTATTGAACAATTACACATTTAAAAACTCATTATAATGGCAAAATAGCAAGATATATAAATCTATATATATATAAATGAAGATGTTTGTTTGCTATGCACTCCTAGGGCATTTGACCAATTGCTACAAAAATTAGCAGTTATGTTAACATGCCTCTATCTTAGATAATATCATACATCCCACCCCAAAATATTTATTGGATTGATATTACAGTATCTGCATTTTTAAACAAAAAAATCCCTTATTTTTTATTTCTTTGTGAATAATCGAAATATTGAGAATGAACATTTGTTTATAGGTTTAAGTTTCAGTAAACTTTGATTCATAAACATGAAATTTATGCAAATACTTATAAATACCCAAAAGGACCACCCAAGGGTTCCACGCAATTAAATGTTATGGCTATGAGACATGGTAGATATTGTGATCATTTTTAACTCGTAATTTTAATATTCTGTAATCACCGTTTTAAAGCCAGTTTTGCTGTTACTTCTGAGATTGGACTGTGAAAAGAATATAAAGAATAAACTTGTAGAAAATTATATTTCTGATGTAAGTCTTTTAATGCTTCAATGAATTTGATATTTGATTAATTAAATATGGTTAAAAATTAAAAAAGAAATAAACATCTAATTTATACAATTACCTTGTTATTGCTCGAGGTAATTCATTTTTATTTAAACTAACAATCATTTGGGACCTAAACAATAAAAATTTATAATAAACTTATATTAAACTCATCTATGACATTATTTTAAAAATTACATTAAAAAAATATTTTTGTAAGATCATTCTTAATAATATATAGTCCAGTGTTTTCAACCTTTTTCTCATTGCAGATCAGTAAAGTTATAGATAATTTTACATGGATGAAGTAATTATATGTGACTATGAATTATGCTTATTTATTAAGCTTACATATGCTTATCTAGAGTTACTGTGTGTAACAAAGTATGCACAGTAACTCTAGATTACTATTTAAATGACATCTGTGATCAACTGCACCAGCTTCAGTGTTGTCAAATATATTTCTGCAGACTGATGAAATTTTTTCATGGACCAGTGGTTGAAAAACACTGGTATAGTTCATTTGAGTTAAGAATAAACTGAATAGAAATAACAACAGTAATATTCAATTCAGTATGCTAATTTCTAATAAATTTAATTATAGTGACCAATGACAAAATATAATATTGAAAAATAACAGATAATCCATAAATAAAAATTAAATAACTAAAAATTTACAATCAAATAAATTATTCATGGCAAAATATTTAATTATATTAATTACATAAAATGACAATTGTTGATAATAATTATAGTTTAGAGAATTAATATATATAATATTCTGAAAAGAATGCTACCATTTTAAATTACTGTAATTATGTTAATTATTACCTGAGAAGTACGTATTGTACACCTATTGATAAAGTAAATGTCTGAGTTTCATCTACTATTGGCATTCAAATGTCTTTTTGTCTGCTACCTCTAGGAAGCACCATAAATGAAAATGGAGACTCTGCAACAGAGGTGTTTGTGTTCTGCAGTTTGCAAAGTCAGAATCAGTCATCATTGTGAAATACGAGTTTTGCAGACAATTTCAAAGTGATCCACCATGTAAGACAAACATTCTTGTTTCACAATGACAATTGATTCCAAGTGATGCAATTACATGGATTTAGTGATACTTTTGAAAAAGCATATACTGTGGTTGTCTACATGCGCACCGTATCATGGGATAGTCTTTCAAAGTAATTGCTAGCAAAACCAAGGTTGCACCTTTAAAGTTGACTTCTCTCCTTTGATTGACTCTGTAGGGTAAACTTGCCTAATTCGTACCACTTCAGGAAAAACCATCATATTATCAAAATTAATAAACACAAATTATTTTTTATTTTAAGTAACTTTTATTTGGGAAATATTTTATCACTACCATAATCAAATTTAGCATAAATCTTATAAACTTCTGAGAAATAAACAATTTAAAAAAACACTAAAAAAGTACGATTTAGGAACATTCGTCTTAAATCGTACCGATATATTCTTAAATCGTACTTTGAGATCCTATCATTGGTTTGCAGTCTTAAGAATAAAAATTTTTATCAATAATGTATTAATATGTGTGTATATTAACTCTTAGCAAATTCGGCAGCTGGTCTTCGCCAATTTTTGGCAGTCATCACAGTTGTAATCCGTTGTCTTTTTATTGGTTCCTGCGCAAAGTTCATGTACCCATATCTCACATTGTGTGCATTTGATCATACTTTCTTTTACGTCTTCTTGGCATAATTTACAGTACCAACTGTTATTTTCATCTTCCTGTTTTTTTATTCTCTTTTTGTGATATTTTAGTAGTTTTCTTCGCACCAAGATTCTTTCATACGTTTTTCTTCTTGCAATTCCAAGAATACCACGTAGTGGAGATATTATTTCAAATGTCACTCAAACTGTCTCTGTATTAGAAATGTTTACTTTCATACCTAAAGAACATTCCTTCACTTTCTCTTCCAGACATTGATCTTGCTGTTTTTCCAAAGGGTGAGTTGTCGGTACTTCAGGAAGTTGTGGGTACTCAACTTCTTCAGTCTGTTCTTGCTCAGTAGTCTGATTGGATTGTGCCACACACGTTAAAGTATCTGTTTGTTCTTGCTGCCTTTCAGTTGCCAGATTCTGGGAGACTTCCGCGTTTCACTTAGATTAGCATCTTCGTCAAGAACGACATATTCCTCATCCCCGATCTTAAAGCGATTGCGAGGCCACAATCCGCAAGATTCGAAGTCATGCATGCCTGTGTCCATACAAACGGCTCGAGGATATGCTTTATTAAGGAACCAGGATGGTTTGCATCCATGATGCGCAAGCAGCACTAAAATTCAGTTTTAGTGATTTCAAAAATGACCTATCTAGTCTATTCATTGATGTATATTCAGTCCTTGTAACTATCGTCTAAATGTCAATTACGGTACATTATATACACTACAAACTTCGTTAAATTATAAGGTCTCATCATTATATTTTTTAATCGCTTCTTTCATATTTTCTTTACTCCAAGAATTATATTTTCTTTTTGACATGTTGTTCTAAAATTAAAGACAATTAAGTTTTAATTTGTTTTGAACTTTTGCGGTTATTTTTCAAATCAGAAACTTAGAGAAAAACAAATAAGTTTACGAATCGGTAATAGTTTATTGTGACATTCATCTAAAATGGTTTTCCTAAATCGTACAAGTACGTTTTAAGAACATGCCTCGAGTACGAAATAGGCGCAAGAGTTGAACAAACTTTACATTAGTTAACTTTAGTAAACTTTACATTATGTCGCCAAAAAATTTGACAACAGATACGCATGTTTTGTGGGGAGTGTGACACCACTGTAGTGATGGGAGCCCTGGGGGTGAAAGGTTACGGTTACGTCCCTCGCTTTACCCGTGATCTGTCAGGACGACACGAGAAAGCCTTTTCCGTATGGGGGTCGTGGTTTGCTGGACGCAAAGACTCACACAGAGACCGTATTTACCAATTCAACGCGTTTATTTGGATTAGAAAACATGCTTACAATGAGTTACACTTGTCGGATCTTCGATAGGCGTCCGTCCAAGACAGTTCGTCGAATAGTCCGTTGTTGTTCTTGTTGTCCGTAGGTTCGAGGTTCGTCACACACACCAAAATCCCGGGAGGAGAAAGTTCGTCTCCTCAACCGCCGTGGAGGTCTCGGGAAGTTTCACTGTTCCCGGGAGCTTGAATCCCTAGTCCTCTTCTTCGGAAAAATCTCGGAGTTAATCCGTCCTCGGGGACTGTCGAAGTTCTTCACAGCTTCTCAAACTCCCAACCTCCCCGTGTCCTTGGGACCTCGGGCTTTTATAATCTTTCCCCACCCAAAATCCCGAAGTTTTGGTTGGTCCGAATGTTGGTCCCTCTGCGCTTCTATTGGTCCCGGGTCTGTTGCCAGGGACGCGATTCGGGCCGAGGGGTCGCCGAGTTGACCCCCGTCCGGGCCGTTCTCCTCCGGAGTCGGGTCAAGCCCTCTCCCGGATGACGGTCTCGTAAATTGTCACCTAATGTCTATTTTTCGGTCCCGGAGAGGAGGAAGCTGTCTCAGCCGCCGCCCCCTCCACAGGAGTGTCAGCAGGACCTGCTTTGAACTCGATGTAAGATGACCGTCCAAAGTTTCCCCGACGGTCGATCCCTCGATCGTTCTCACGATTGACGACCGTGAATCTGTCAATTAGGCTTGGAATGCAACAATTAAATCGTCTCGCACCCCGTTCCTTGGTCACACCGGTCCTATTTACGTAATAAGTCACCGATATATTGACTTTAGCTCGACAACCGGTTTCCGTCCGAGGGAGGAGGTGTGGTCCCGGCCTCACATTTCATCACTTCAGCTGAAATCACAAAAATACGCACTAATACATCACAGATAGTTAAAAAAACTTACACACGATCCTATTTGAAGAAATTTCTTACGAAATGTGCAAAAATATTACAGAAAAAGTTGAAAAAAACTTTCCTTACAATTTCATGATGAGCTCAGGATATTTTTCTTCTAATTATTAATTAGAGATTCAGACTATGTACAAAAAATTATTTAATTTTTGAGTCTATCAATTCATCCTTTTTCACACACCACAGAAGTAGCCTTTTACATCGGTTTGAAGAAATCACTTCATAAAAAACGTATAACAATAGGTAAAAATTTACAATTAAAAACGATCAGACGTCAGCCTTTCATTTTAGGTATCTGACGCCTTTACATTAAAATTAAGTAAATCTTCTCACCAACTGCCAAGTTTTATACCTTCAGTATCAGGTTCAAGCCCTCTAGTGGTGGATACGAGCTATCTTTGATTTGCATGTAGTTACAATTTCATGATGAGCTCAGGNAATGTAAAGGCGTCAGATACCTAAAATGAAAGGCTGACGTCTGATCGTTTTTAATTGTAAATTTTTACCTATTGTTATACGTTTTTATGAAGTGATTTCTTCAAACCGATGTAAAAGGCTACTTCTGTGGTGTGTGAAAAAGGATGAATTGATAGACTCAAAAATTAAATAATTTTTTGTACATAGTCTGAATCTCTAATTAATAATAAAAACTTTCCTTTTCAATATTTTTGTCGGGAGCAGAGTAACAGCGTGTTGTCTGTCAGATGGTAATATGACCGATTGTTATTTACTTTTTTTGCTACTAGAGACACTAATAGCTATTACCGGAGTCGAGATATAAGCGAAGTATGAATTAGGCACAAGTACGAATTAGGCAAGTTTACCCTAGTGCTGTTTCATTAGCTAAACTCAACAACTTCATTTGTCTAGTTTTGCAATATCACTTTCCAAGATTTGGTGCTGGACCAATTCAACCATCATCCTTTGCTGGTTATTGTCGCATCTCAATTGCTGGAAACCCTTTGTTGTACATAGGAACTGTCATGAAAATACACAACCTAATACTGGAAGCCAATTGGAAACATATTGAAGATAAAAGAATCTTGCAGATTGTGCTTCTAGAGATTTGTCCCTGAAGCAGTTGAATGATTTTTCCTTGTAGTGAAATGGACCCCTTTTTCTCTCAATACAAGAATGTATTTCTAACAACCTTCACATCATAAATAAATGGATGAAGTTCTTGTAGAGCAGTGTTTTTCAACCTGTGGGTTGCGACCCCCAGGGGGTCGCAAAGCCATACACAGGGGATCGTGGGTAAAAGAAAAAGACAAGTGTTTGTACGTCCTACACTACAATAAAAAACTACAATTTCAGTGAGAAGGCTGTGCCTGTTTATTTTACACTACAATTGGTTTTTTGATCGATATTTAAATCTCAACAGAAAGAAAATTAAATACATAGTTTTTAAAATCACTGACAGTTTTAATATGGCCGTGGGGGGTCACCAGAATTTTTTAACTTGTAAAGGGATCGCATATTCAAGAAGGTTGAAAAACACTGTTGTAGAGAAAAGGAGAAAACCTCCAATCAATAATTCAGCTTCTGTAATGACATAAACAAGTAACATTCTTTATCTCTTTTCTATTCTCTCCAAGCTGAAGCAAGAGACAGTATTTTGTTTTTGATTCATTTCTAATAATAAGTACCAGCAAAGGAAAGAAAATTTGAATTTCTGATATCAACTTGAACATGCTCCTAAATTTTGAATTAAATGTGTCCAAAACTTTCAGTTTAAAATAGCTTCATTGAAAAACTCTCCTTCTCTTTCCAATAAAAGTAACCTTCTCAAATTATGGGTTCACCATTTATTGACAAAGAATTCAGGGTGGGCAGTTGCCTTCAGCATGAAAAAATGCATAAGGAACAGAAACATCCTATCCATCCTGCTAAAACATGACTGTCTCACTGAAGTGCTGATTTCTTGGTTCAACATTACACATTTACATGCTATTCTTCAATTACTTTAAGCATGCATTCAAGTATTGGATACTTAATGCTAGAGATACCATTTGACAATTATCTAGAAAATGTCTAACTTGTGTTAAGATTAAAGTTCAGACTTCAAAACATTTAGGAGCTTTACTAGTGGGGAGGGTGACTCTTTCCTGTCTATTTCTGAAATGTGATGTAGACTTTGCTGGTCCGTTCATTATTTGAATGTCAAAGGATAGTAGAGCCAAGACTTGTGAAGCATACCCAACCCTTTCTGTGTGTTCAGCAACCAGAACAATCAACTATGAGCTAGTTGATGATGTTTCTATAGACATATTTTTTGCAACCTTGTAGAGATTCATAACATGAAGCGGTAAATCTGCACACATCCATAATGATTGTGACTTCAATTTTATGGGTGCTTAGAAAAACCTCAAATTTGCAATCTTGTCTAATTCCCACAGCAATAATGAGAAGCTTATTCAATATTTATCAGATGAGGGAATATCCTGGCATTTTAATCCTCCAGCTGTGCCACACATCAGCGGTATTTGGGAGGCAGACATAAAATTTCATCTTAAACACATATTCCCAAGCATAGATCTAACTTATGAAGAACTATACACCATTAGAGTTAAAATTCTCATCTACTAATTCCCACAAATCTCATCTACTATTTCCCACATCCAATGACCCAAATCATCTCTCAGTGCTAACTCCTGGTCACTTTCTCATCAGAAATCCATTGACTGTCATTCTAGAAACAAACTTCACCTCATCAAAGTTAAATTGCCTTTCACAGTGACAACTCATCCAATGTCTTGTGCAAACTTCTGGAAGTAATGGAGTTTGAAATATGTGAGCCATTGCAACAACAACCAAAATGATTTTTCCAACAAGATAATCTTGGATTAATAAGATTGGAGAGTTAGTATTGATCAAAAAAGAACACTTACCATCACTAAAATGGCATTTAGAATGCATTGTAGAAATTTTTCCAAGTCACAATAACTGTGGTAAGAAGATCATCAATAAAATCAGCTGATAGATTATTCAGACAATCAATTACAAAGCTTTGTAAAATTCCTCTAGACAATGACTGAACTTGCATTCTTAATTTACACCTGATTAACCATTCATTTAATGTTTGAGTTTATATTGTCTATCTTTCGTGTTGAAATTTTATATTTCAATGAGGATGTCATCTTGGGTTTATAGCAATGCAGCTGAGAGGCAGTGCTGATATATAAAAACATGAGTTCAAATTTTGATGTCATGATAATTTCTTTTTGTCAGTGGACAGTAGTAATGTACTGAATTGATGGCTTATCTTGAGATCTTATCAAAGTGATTTTCTTCTGTGTGCTATTAATGTAAATATTGTTTGTGTCTATCAATAAATAGTTAAAGTGAAGCTTCAGTTCAAGTGGCCAAGAGTCATCATATGTATGCATAATTTGTTGTTGAGATGAAATGCCAGTGTGCAGTAGGAAACTAAAAATAAAAAGTAAAGTTCAAAATTTCTAAAAATTTTGGTTTTACATTTGAAATGTTTTATACCAGGAAGTATTATCATATAAAACTTTCAACAAAAATAGATTTCCTTTAAATCTAAACTTAAGTTCATACTCTACTAATGCTTATTCAGATTGTTGAAAAACACATTTAACAAACTCATAGTGATGTGTTAGTTTGATAATAATCACATTTTCTATCAGAAAGTTTTCAGCTAACAGAAAAAATTTACTTTATATTAAACATAAAAATTTTAACTATCAAAAATGTTTTAAAAATACTTACTCTATTCTTTTATGAGAATTTTTCCAATAAGATATCATCTTACTAAATTTTAATGCTTTTTCAGCATATCCACTATCATAAACTTGAAGGGTACCATCAGATATCTTAATTAGAAAATCTTTTGACAATGGATTACCAACTCGTTTATGAGGACCATCCTTTAAATTAATGGCAATTGATAAAAATTAAATATAAAGAATTCTTAAATAATGAAAAATCAATTATTTTAAAATAACTTTTATAAATTCTTTAGTTTAATAAACTTGATAAAATTAAAAACAAAAAAAAACCCAAAGAATTTGTGTAAACTCGACATATTAGTGTGACTTTTTTTAATTATTAAATCCAGCAATATTTTGAGAGATTAAAACTAGTTCTGAGCTATAGTGTCCCCATAACTAAGGTTTATTTTTTAAGTAATTGTCTGTGTAATGTATTTTATCACTAAATTTTTTGCAAAATTTATTAGATAAGTACATATTCAGGAAATACAAAATGTTACTCACAAAAAACCTTTAACCAGTGTGTAATAAAATTTAACAGTCACTACAAATGATTTCAAACGTAAAAGTTTCTAGGTAGAAACTTTTACATTTGAACACATGATTCCGTTCTTTTTTCATCTTTAAAAATTGTTCCAAACGATTCTTTACGTGAAGAAGGGCCCAGGAAAGGTTTGAAAGTGTTTGTATTGACTGTTAAATTTTATTACTCACTGGTTACAGAAATTTTGTGAGTAACGTTTTCTATTTTACACCCTGGTGTGCGGTTGTTCTATATTATTAATATTCAGGAATTTTTAAATATTGACTTTTTAAGTGACAGGGAAAATCAACAACAGTCTTCAACCTTTGCATATCACAAGCAATTCATCCCTTTCATATACAGTCTACTAAACATGTTTTCTGATATTTATAACTTGAATCTTGATTTATGAATCTTGTTATAATTTAACTTTAGCTATCATCATATAATTATCTTCTTTTCGATTCCTTAATATCTTCAGATAACGCATAAAATCTTTTTTCCATATTTTACAAGTCTGATAAGTTTGAGACAGACTTAAATGAAGGAATTTGATAAAATAATCCATAGTTATATTTCTGACAACATATATGAGAATACTAGGAATATACTAATTTAAAAAATCAGAAACTATAACAAAATTCTACCTGTTCTATAAATATGGCTATTTGCAACAAAAACTCACAGGTACATTTGAATTGAGAATGCTGTCATGTTTCATATCAACAAAATAGAAGTTTAACATTTATGTCAGTACTGATTTATGTTAATATACCAATACTCACATAAACTTCTGTTTTTGTGTTCTGCTTTTCACTTCCTAAAATAAAATTTTTATTTTTAAAATGAAGTTTTAATCTCCAATCATTTTTGATTTATAATTGGTATATTATCTAAAGTTAAGTAGTATACCAATACCTTTCTGTAACTTAAATTATTGCTGTTTCAGCAGCTAAGAGTCATATGTTGACTTTAATTTTCTATAACTTAAATTACCCTTAAATTAGATATTTCCCTCAATCAAAGTTTTAGTTGCCAGTTTAGATTTATTCAATAAAAAAATATTAAAATTAATTAAATAAATAATTAAGTATCCTGTTAAATCTTCACTTTATTGAAAAAAAAAAAAAAACATATAGCCTCCATTTCAAAGGAAAAAATAAGAGGACAAAATATTTTCATTTTCAGATATTAAAAAGAGCTCAGTTAAATTTAACTTTTAAGCCTTTTCACTTTTTAATGATGCATAAGATAAAACATAAGTTACATTTTAGGTTCTTTCTTTGAAAAATAATATCATTGATGTTTTCAATTACTATGTTACAAATCCTATTTTTAACATAGTCTTAATTATTCAATAACAATATATATTATAAACATAAAAAAAGATATTTATTCCCATCTTTTTTTCTATTTTACCTGAAGAAGATAATTATGTTTTATTAATGAAAGTACTTTTAAATATATTTGTTTTCTGAGCTAAATTTTTACCTTTTAACAACATAAAGAAAGTCAGTTATCCGAAAGAATTCCAGTTGGCAAATTTAAATTTTTGCTAGTACAGTAGAACCTCGAAAACTCGTCCCTCGATAACTTATCACTCCGGATAACTGGTCCACACCTTGGCAGGGCGAAAAAATCCTTAGTTAATTAATTTTCATTATAGACAGCTTTATAAAAGTATAAAAGCTCTCATAAAGTATTTTTCTGAGGTCTGTCTTATCAGGTAAATTACTGTACACAGTGTATTCATTAATTTTCATTTTCATGTAGTAAAGGCTCTATGCCTTCATAAAGGACGTACTTTTCCTTTGTTTAAGGGTATTTGGGCAGTTTATTCTCTGTTATATTCTGTACAAGTAAATACTGTACAAGTACAGTACAGTATTTTCTGAGGAAATACTCGTACTTATTTTTTTTAACCCCATTCCCGATAACTCGGCATTTTCACAAACTCGGCCACCCTTCGGTCCACATTAGGTCGAGTTTTCGAGGTTCTACTGTACTGTGGCACTGCAATCTTTGGCTATGTCTTGGGCTACTCAAATATTTTACGTTTTTGATACTAAATTAAGTTCTGAAGTATAATTTTTTTATTGTTTTTATATTTTTCAATATATTTATTTTGTTTGTACAAAATAAAGAAATAATTTTTAACGATACAATAGTCACGATTATTATTTTAAAAAGTTTATGTTAGGCTTAACATCAATGAAAATTCAACGCAAAGCGACACGCAACAGAGAAAAATTTCAGGATGGGATAGGCTAATATATTTTTTCGTACATAATCAGTTATCCGAACAACCCCAGTCCCCAATTGATTCGGATAAACAATGCTCTACTGTATTTTTAAAATTTATTGAATAATTTTCAAAAAATAAGTGTTTATATTTATGTTCAATATAATATTAATATAATATAATTATATAATATAATATAAATTACAGCAATAATTTGTTTCATATTTTGTAAAACATTAAAAAATGAAACTTTGACTTCAGTTGTTTTATTAGTTGAAAATATTCATCTAATAAAATCTTTTTATAAAGGTCACATAAATACAGAAATTATGTATATTCACATTTCTTTTAAAACAGAAAATGAGTTTAATTTATATTTAATTTATAAAGTGTAATTTAGTAAATGATTTATTTCATTAATTTTAAAAGCTCCAATAAACTGAATAAATTGTTTTTAAAAAATTTAAAATTTTTCTATCTTTTATTAAAGATCTTTTTTGACTAAGACTATGTCTTGTTTATCTTTTTTGATTTTATAAACAAGACTATGCATTGTTTATAAAATCGTACTGCCGGTTTTTGTTACCAGCATAGAGGTATGAAGGAGTACATGTTGAGAGTTGATATTTGGTACAGAGGATTAAGTGCCCAAATCATTTGCGCATAAAAAAATCCAGACTTGTAGGTAGTCAGGGGACCAAGAACCGAATCAAAATAAAATACAAAATGGTGACCCTCTTCTACAAACAGGCAAAATAGGCACCTCACCTCACCAAAGTCAGGTGGAGAGAGTACCACCCACAGTCATTCTAAGAAGTGAACTCTGACCTTAGGACTGAACACATAGTTTCTTCTATGTAAAATAAAATTTGTAATCTAATTTTGTAAATTTGGGAGTGCTTCAAATATGACGTTAAAACTGTTTTATGTCGTTACAGGTGGGTTTTTTTTAAACATTATCTAGTATAGTAAAATCATAGGACCAATAAAAATTTGACATTATATTAGGATTGTCGTTACATTCGACATTATAATCGGGTTAAACTGTATACTGCTTGTGCAAAATAAAAAAATAATTTCAGACGATACAATAGCCACGATTATTTTTTTCAAAAACAGGAAATTTTCATTACACATTGACAAAAATTCAACCTGGGCCGACACACAACAAAGAAAAACTTCGAAATTGGATAGGTCAATTTCATTGAAAATGTATTGTGGCCGGCGAAGTTTGAACGATCGCACCCAAAAGCAGCGATACCAAAGAAGATTGGAGAATGAGAACAAGACCTGCCTTGAGCGTCAAAGTGATTCTGCTTAGTAGTAAGTCTCCAAGACACAGTCTTGTCCCAATACAGTTTTGCCATTTTACTTGTTTTTAATAAAACAGAAAATTTCTTCAAATGAATGTACAATTTTCATAACTAAAACAAGAAAATAAAATTAATGTTAGTAACAATAGAACAGAAGTAAAAAACACACACCGTGAAGAAAAATTCTCTAAATCAGGGGTGTCCAAACTTTTTGCCACAAGGCTATATTGGTATTTAAATACATTTGCGGTAGGCCATATGAATATGTGAATTAAAAACTTTCATTATGACTAAGGCAGCACTGAAATTTATTTTTTACAGTTAATTACAGATACACCAATACTAAACAAACATGGCTAAATTATATATAAACAGAAAATTATTTCATGCAACTTTTAATGGGAATGATGGAACTGTGTTTTTTTGCTGAAGAATTTCTTTAAAGTTGGGATTAAAATCTAAAACAACAATTATAAGCAATGATTGCAAATGATCATCCGATAAATTTGCCCTGTACTTTGATTTCAGATACTTCATCCTGGAAAAAGTTTGTTCGCACATATAAGTAGTCCCAAACACAGAAATAAATTTACAAGCAAATTGCTTTAAATTTGGAAACTCTTTTGCATTCAGAAATTTGTAAAAATTGACCAAGTTTCCTTCCTTGTATTTATCCTTGATTTGATTGTTAGCTTGAAGATCAATCATTTCCATTTGAAACTAAATTGAAATGTTGGCAATGTTGCAGTCAAATGGATTTTGAAACAGGTGAATTTCTTTTGAATTCATGTCAAGATCAGAAAATCACTTTTGAAATTCTTGTTTTAAATCCACAATGACTTTTACTGCAAATCTGGTTGGAAATTGTTCATCAGTTTCTGTATTCAATTCTTCACAGCATGGGAAATGGGTAAAATTACATTCATTCAATTCTTCACAGCATGGGAAATGGGTAAAATTACATTCATTCATCTGACTTTCAAGGAATATCAGTTTTGCCCTGAATGCTTTGATTTGTGCAAATAAATCACAAATTAAGTTGTTTTTACCTTGGAGCTTTAAGTTCAAGTTATTCACGTGTGTCACATCTGCAAAAAAAGCCAACTTCCAGAGCCACTCAGCATCCAATAAAAGTGGTTCAGGGCAATTTTTCTCTGCAAGAAATAAATAAATTTCATTTCTAAGCTTAAAGAACTGCAATAGCACTTTTCCACAGCTAAGCCATTGAACTACAGTATAATATGACAAGTCAACAGACTTGGATTCAATTTGTTTGAGAAAAGATCAAAATTGGCAATGGTTGAATGCATGTGATCGAATAAAATTTACAACAGAAACAGCTGGTTTAAAAACGCAGCTCATATCAACATGTTTTACACATAGTACTTGTTCATGGATAATACAGTGCAGAAAAATGGTACTGATGCCCCTGCACCTTCACAAGCTTTTCTAATTTGCCTAATCACACTGATGTTTGCACCAGACATGTTTCTTCCTCCATCAATTGTCACATCTTGGAGTCGATTCCAGTCCAAGTTATACTTTGTCAATATTTTTGTGCTTCTTTGAAGATATCTTCTCCAGTTGTAGTGCTGTACATGCTGTTAACAGAGGCTAATTCTTGTGTGACATTAAGTTTGTTGTCAACTCCATGAACAAAAACTAAAAGTTGTGAGGTGTCACTAACATTAGTTGATTCATCCATTGCGAGAGAATACTGAGTGAAACACTGTGTTTTACCAGTAATCTGATGGAGAATATTGTTTCCAATATTGTCAATTCAATGAGCAACAGTATTACAGGAAAGACTGATCATTTTGAAAAGTGTCAACTTTTCTGGAACAACTCACCAACAGCTTCCATCATACATTCTTTAACAATGTTTCCATCCATAAAGGGTTTTCCTTTTTTTGCCAACAAATAAGCAACTTTCATGCTAACTAAGGTCAATGCTTCATTTTCCAAGTTTGCCTTTCTAAATAAATTTTGCTGAGTACACAAACTACAACACATTGTTTCAAATTTTTCAATATGCTGCTTGTCCTTAAATTGTGAGTAGGTTAAATCATGTTTTATTTCATAATGTCAATATAAATTATATTCCTTCATTACAGTAACAGTGTCGTTGCAAATTACACATACTGCTTTGCCATTCTTTGACTGCAATTGCAGAAAGAAGTATTTTACTCCTCATTCTTCATTAAAAACATAACACTCATCATTAACTTTTCTTTTTCTTCTTTCCATGTTTAAACCTTAAAAAATAATATTGAACTTCAAGATAATTAATTTGTAGTACATTAAATATGAATTTACACATACCAATTTACAAATGAGTCATGTGCAACAGAACAGAAGACAATAGAATGCAATCCCAAGGTCAACTACAGGGATGCCACATACAATGCTCTTGAATCTTTTTCCCCCTCTACTGCCTTTGTACCAATTCGGTAGTTACTGAACAATAGCCCAAAACAATATTTTTACAACTGTAAATTTAAGTAAATTTTATGTATATATTTGTTCATTTTTATTATTTTTAAAAATTAAAAATCCTGTTTTTAATCAAATATGATTTTTGCATTTTTTTCAATTTTTGATATACATTTTTGAAAATCAAATGGGTTTGTGCAAAAAAAATCAGTATTTTTCAAAAATCTTTGCAGGCCGGATAAAATCACCTGCCAAGCCGAGTCTGTCCTAAGGGCCATAGTTTGGACACCTCTGCTCTAAATTAAAAAATTAAAAATTAATTTAACAAATATTTAAATATAAACAGATAATGAGAAAAGTTAGAACATTCAAAATTTTACTTATTATATTGCATCTGATTCTTAATAATCTGGTACAAGAAAAAAAAAAGAAATTTAGAGTTTAAACCTATAAAAANAAAATCATGGGACCGATAAAAATTTGATGTTATATTAGGATTGCCATTACATGTGATGATGTTATAATTGGATTAAACTGTTAATTAATTTAATACCTACATATGCATTTATTTATGCCTCCATAAATAAATTGATTGATTGATTGACTGATTGATTGAACCAGTCATATTAGTGAAATCTAATGACAGTAAACAAGAGCAGTGCTAATCTTATCTAATTCAACCAGGAACTATACAATATAAGTATTTGTATAGTTCTTTGATTAAGTATTAGAATATGTTGTTTCATGGAAATGTATCTTTATTTCAAAACAATCCTTAATAATTAATAAAGCAATAATATATTACCTTGTGTGGTAAACGAAAAAACTGGCATCCTTGAATACAAACATCATCAAAAGGTCCATTCCCGTGATGAAAAAGAAGATTCTAAAATTATTTTAATTATTTTCAGTTAAAAATTCATCTATGTAACTTGTATCTATTATGAAATTTGACATATTTACAATTAAAATAAACACAATTTAAACTAAAACTAGTTTAATTAAAAATATACTTTAACTAAGAAACATCTGCGATTAATCACACAAATTAATTAAGTCACTGTTTATTTCAATAAGCTAACATTTTCTATAAATTTATAGAGAGGTTGCCAAGTTTTGTGAATTTTTATAATATGTTATATAGAATTATCATAATTTATTACTTAAACTATTCAAAATTTATTACTTTAGTTGAATCTTTGCCTAGTATAAGACTCCATTGTAATTCTCTTTCTTTGTGCGATTCTTTTGGTTCTACCACCTTTTTCCAAATATTTTCAAATTCTGCTGAAGTTATGTGTTCAACATTTGGTAACTGAACAGCTTTAAAAACAATTTTTTTTAAAAGTTCTCTGTAAGTTAAAGATAACAATTTTAGTAATAAACTTTTATAAATTCATTGAAATAAGAGAATTAAAATGTAATGAACAATAAATCATAAATTCTGATAAACCCTTTTTTACCAATAATTAATAATTTTCAAATTTTTTAACATCAATTTAAAAACAAACAAAACTATATTAAAATTATTAAGTTAAGATTATTATTTCATTTTATCAAATGTAATAACTAAATGAAAATTATGACAGCAATAACTACTATAAAATGAAGATTATTTACAAAATAATAAAAGTTTACAACGATGTAATTAAAAATTTGAAAAATTACCTTTTATAAGAAATTTTTATTTGTCTCAAGTTTCGATAATGGCAGCACTTCTGGCTTTGAGAATAATATCAAATCAAAAGACAACAAGGGTAAATTAATGTATGCCAATTAAAAAGACACAACAATAGCTACAACCAACTGACTGCCGAAAATCTATTGGGCTAGTTTTATGCTAATAAGAGATGGCGCCTAACGCTTACCTCTAGTACCAAATTGATTACGTAATTTATTTAATAATTAGCATAAAACTAGCCCGATAGATTTTCGGCAGTCAGTTGGTTGTAGCTATGTTATATGTCGAGTTGTAGATGTTTGTATAGACACAACAATATTCACTTAAAAAAGTCAGTTATTTTAGATTGTAGGCATTTTTCACCTAAAAATTGTTTATCAATGTCATTTTCTAAATGACTTTGTTCATTATTTCCAATGAAGTTTTCTGAGACCTGTGAAACATTTTCAATAATCTTATTGCATTACAAGCTTCCCTGGTTGACAGCACTGCATTTTCTCTGTCTGATGTTTCATCTTCATCATCATTATCCACATTTTTCTCGTCTGAAGATTTAATTTGCTCAACAATATCTGCATCTGCATGAAATTCGGATGTTATTAAATCTTCATCTACACTATCATATTCAGTAGCAGCAGATGACAAAATTTGCCATTTTCTGAACTTTGAAGTGTTTTAATTAATTCTGATAGAGGAATGTCGTCATCCTCATTATTGTCATCATTCATAAATGTAATAGCTGTTTGACTATTACACAATTTTGCATGGCAAAAACAGTATGCTATTGTAAGCGAACTAACCTTAAACCAAGATTTTTCCAAAAAATCAACAGCATCTAATAAAGAAATTGCCATTTTATTGTTATCTTCCATATTTGTAATAATTTTTTGTAAAAGAATTTTTCTGAAATGAGATTTAAGGCTTCTTATAATTCCTTGATCCATTGGCTGAAGTACGCTAGTATAATACAGAGAAAGTTTAATGCTCTTTAAATTTTCTAAAATTGGATGTACTGGGCAAGTAGTAAAACTTTTTTTCGTTTACCAATAAGTTCTTTATCCAATTTTCGAATTTCTTCAAAAATCTCAGACATCATTCATGACTTTTTCTTGGCTTTGTAATTTATTGGTAATGTTTTTATGTTTTTAAAACATCTTGGATTCTTTGATTTTCCTATTACAAGAAGTTTTCTTTCGTCTGTGCCAGTCATATTATAATTCTATGGACTTTATCCATTAACTTAAAGTTCTACATGGAATCTACAATGCACATACTGTTGTTTGTTTACATTTCCTGTATTTAATTCCTTGGTAGTGCTCATAGCGGAGCCAACATATGCATTTATTTATGCCTCCATAAATAAATTGATTGATTGATTGACTGATTGATTGAACCAGTCATATTAGTGAAAACAAAAGCTGTTATCCTATCTTTCGCAAGTTTTCCATCAACACATTTTTTGTTTTTAAATTTAAATGTTTTATCTGGTAAACGTTTGTAAAATATCCCAGTTTCATCTACATTATAAATGTCTTCATCTGCATATTCTCCCCTTAATTTAGGCCACACATCTCTTAACCAGTTTTCAACATCCAGTAAATTTACACTTTTTGCTTCTCCACACACTTTCCCGAAATGCATGCCATGTCTTTGTTTAAAATGGTCTAGACATCCATTAGAACATTTAAAGTTAGTATCGCCTAGTAGTCGTCCAAATTCTTCTGCTTTTTCATTAGTATCGATCCATTTAGTGGTAAGTTGGAACTTCTGCATAGGTTAAACCACTTAATTAGAGCAGCATCAATATTGGCTTTTTCACATAACTTAATTTTTTTCACTTGTACCTTGCCATCTTGAACACTTTTCAAAATTTTCTCTCTGTTTTTTATTATTATGCACACTGTAGAATTTGCTAAACCAAAGTCTTTGCATACATTTGTCTTTTTTCTTCCACTTTCAACTGCTTTAATTATTTCTACTTTGCAGTCTAACGTTCATGCTTTCCTTTTTAAGCTAGCCATTTCACCTGATTTGTTGCTAAACTACTGTACAACACAAGAGGAAAGTTAAAATTTATAACAGCTTCACAATCAACAACCATTCAGTACACCAATAACAAATTAGAACTTATTAAGCAAGATGGATCCCACTCAAATTTCCCACTTCCATGTCGACCTTATATAGTCATTGACAGCCATCGGCCAACCAGTCAGCAGCTATGCTAGTCATAGCTCTATTCCAGGTCTGCCACATGGCATGATGTTTCGCCAATCATCTCTTCCTTGAGACACATGCACCATCAATTCAAATTTAGCCAATCATGGTCTTCTACGATCTTTCTTTGGCAGCATCCATTACCAGTTCAAATTGGCCAATCATGTCATTACTCTATATTGTAAGGAACCAAGTCCGAGTATTATTTTAATTTTTGCTTTTATTCTATTTTTGTTTGGGGCTTATGTTTTGTTAGGATAAAGGTTTCCTCACCACTCACCTTAGAAACTTAAAAATAGAAGAGAAACCAACTCACCGACGAGAGAAAAGTGCCGTAGATAAAACTCGCCCACACTTGTGCTCCCAAGTGGAAAAAAGTAAGTCCACACCAAGAAAAAGGGGGGGGAGACCCCACAAGCACAAACTTAGAAACTTGCTAAACCTTAAAGAATAAAAAACATCCCCAAAATTGTCAAAAAGAATAATGTAAAAGGTTAGCAAGTATTGTTGGAAAATAGGCTGCCAGACAAACAAAGTTTTTAGTGTTAGCAAATAAGTAAGTAAATGAGGGGAGTGATCTCACTCAGAATTGTGATGTCACCTCACAGTATAAAGACCAAACCTCAAGTGAAGATGATAGAGGTGAGCTTCTGTTAGCAACAAGCTTGGTGAGCTTCGTATCAACAAACGAGAGAGAGGTGTCTGATAGGATAAAGTAGTTCCAAGGCAATTTTGAAGTTATTCGATTTGTGGATCAAAGATTAGAGAAAGTCTTGAGAGTTGAGGAAAAAGGTTCCTAGTATATTAAGGTGACGATTAGGACCTTTGATTCATAAGAATTATTGTACATAAGTTAAGTCACTGAATTTTTTGTCGAATTCCAAAGGGGAATAGTTAAGTTAGAAAATAGATTGATTTGAGTTTTGTCAGGTTGATTCTTATTGATTTACGTTGAATAAATTGTTATTGGATTTTTACTAAATTTTGTATATAGTTATTACTAGAGTTTTCATTAAATATTGGATTGTTTTTGAATAACTTTTTCATTATTTAATTTGATGCATGCTTAAAGTCCAGGCCTGGCACATTTACGCAAATCCACGTAAAGTACCCGTTACCTAACGGGTACTTTACGCGGATTAGCGTTAAGTTATTTTTAAGTTTCTAAGGTGAGTGGTGAGGAAACCTTTGTCCTAACAAAACATAAGCCCCAAACAAAAATAGAATAAAAGCAACTAAAAATAACTAAAAATAATGCTCGGACTTGGTTCCTTACAATATCACCATGACAACAAGTAATTATGCAAACTAATCCAATTGTCATGTTGTTTAAAGATGTGATGAACCTCACCCCACTGAAGTCAGGTGGTGAGAGTACCACCCACAGTTGTTCTAGGAAGTGGACTCTGATCCTAGAAACTGAGCATGTAGTACATTTACTGTATTTTCTTTGTTAAATAAAATTCACATTTTTAATTTTGTAAATCTGGGAGTGCTTTAAATATGACGTTAAAACAGGGTTTTATGTCATTACAAGTGGGTTTTTAACATTATCTAGTATAGTAAAATCATGGGACCGATAAAAATTTGATGTTATATTAGGATTGCCATTACATGTGATGATGTTATAATTGGATTAAACTGTTAATTAATTTAATAAAAACAAATAAATAAATAAAATTAATTTAGAATTTTTTATGTGATTATATTTAATTGAATGCANCAAAGATTAGAGAAAGTCTTGAGAGTTGAGGAAAAAGGTTCCTAGTATATTAAGGTGACGATTAGGACCTTTGATTCATAAGAATTATTGTACATAAGTTAAGTCACTGAATTTTTTGTCGAATTCCAAAGGGGAATAGTTAAGTTAGAAAATAGATTGATTTGAGTTTTGTCAGGTTGATTCTTATTGATTTACGTTGAATAAATTGTTATTGGATTTTTACTAAATTTTGTATATAGTTATTACTAGAGTTTTCATTAAATATTGGATTGTTTTTGAATAACTTTTTCATTATTTAATTTGATGCATGCTTAAAGTCCAGGCCTGGCACATTTACGCAAATCCACGTAAAGTACCCGTTACCTAACGGGTACTTTACGCGGATTAGCGTTAAGTTATTTTTAAGTTTCTAAGGTGAGTGGTGAGGAAACCTTTGTCCTAACAAAACATAAGCCCCAAACAAAAATAGAATAAAAGCAACTAAAAATAACTAAAAATAATGCTCGGACTTGGTTCCTTACAATATCACCATGACAACAAGTAATTATGCAAACTAATCCAATTGTCATGTTGTTTAAAGATGTGATGAACCTCACCCCACTGAAGTCAGGTGGTGAGAGTACCACCCACAGTTGTTCTAGGAAGTGGACTCTGATCCTAGAAACTGAGCATGTAGTACATTTACTGTATTTTCTTTGTTAAATAAAATTCACATTTTTAATTTTGTAAATCTG